CCCTAAGATAGATGATGGGGTAACCTGCTGGCGAGCTTCTTCCTGCCCGCTATTTCTCCATTCAATTCAAAATCGATTGACCCAAATTCAGAAGTCAGACGACTGACATGTAACTATTGTGTTAATGAAAAGGCATAGCGGCAGTAACGAATAACACGTGGTGCATACAATTCGTAGCACTTATCAACTATACGCTAGATCACGCAGGCCTAACTAGCTAGTTCCACCACTGTTGGCCTGTTCATGATCGCAGATTCACTGTCTCATGTAAGCTTCTTGTTAGAGTTGTCTCGAATATAGTGTACAAGGTAGGTTATAATTAAACTAGGAGTTGTATTGTGTTTACATAGGATGTGGAGTTGTGTCCTAATAGGACACTTGTATCATAAGCCTTTCATATATAGCGGAGGTAGACACACGATATAACCTATGCCAACATAATAGCACAGGTGCGCAAGGGGGAGCCGCCGGTGTGTGCCGGCGCCCGGATGACCGGTGCGCGGTATTGTGACGGCGTCATGGGAAGGAGCGCCCATAGTCAAGCCCCGGGATATAGCCATATCGGTGAACCTCGTTAACAAATCTCAGTGTTGTGCTCGTGTGATTGCTTGGTTCTCGGATGATCGACGGCATGCCTCGGACTTATTCTAACAAGTGGTATCATGAGCTAGGTTATTTAAAGATTGATCTAAAGGAAGGAAGAAAGCGTCGACGGAAGTCTGCAGGAAGCAATCGTAATACGGGATAAGTCATCGGCGAGTTACTATGCAAAGCAGATGTATTAGTCGAGTCGTAATCTTCATGGAAGCAATCGGAAGCGGTCTCGGCGTGATAACGTGCAGCAGGCTGGCGGCGCTTGGCACGCGGGTACACAGCAAATCGATTCGATGCGGGCTCCTTCGGATCGAGGCCGACCGGGCGGCTGTCGCGTGCAGGCGGCAGTCAGCAGATTCCAGCGAGGAGCTGGCATACCCCGCGTTTGGAGGCCCCAGCGAGGAGCTGGCGTCGTGCGGAGCAACACCGGGCCGGCGGCCCATTGCAGGTGCAGCGGTTGACCAGGGCGTGGCTGACCAGCTCGGGCAGGAGGCCCAGTTGACAGTAGACCGGTGCGGGCTGGCTAGGCAATGGCCGGCTGCTGCTGGGTGTGCTCCATGAGCCACGCGCGTGAGAGCTAGAGGAGTCACGTACAGGGATTTGTTTTGAGACAAAAAAGGAACCGGCCAGGGTCACGAGTGTGTACAAGGTGCACGGAGAAGCTAAAAAACAAATAGAGAAAAGGAAAATTGTGCAGTTGCATGGAATTTTTTTTTGAGTCGATTTGTTGTGAAGGCTTGGAACACGTGGACAGGTTATGGAGGCGTGCGGACAAGCACGTCATGAGGATCACGCAAACACAGGGCGTCAATCAATGCACGGAGATGTGCAGGTGGTCATGATGCAAGGTGGAGCATGATTGCAGTCGGTTAATTTCGGCTGGGTTGGACTGGACTGTCTGACGGATCGACTGGGATGTCGGTTGGTACAGAAGACGGTGGTGGGATCGGCGACGACGGCATATGAGCATGGTGCTGATGGTGACCGTTTTCTGGGCGTGGAAACACGCGGCACGGGCCTGAGTGCTTGTGTGATTTCGACAAGACTATGACGCGGGGTTGATTCAAGACGGTGCACACGGAGCTTGAAGTTGACGGGGCGCGAGGGTGGGCTGATCATCTACCATGGAGTCATGTTGAAGGTGGAGCTGGATTGAGGGGCTACGGTGTAAGGATCCAGAGAATCGAAACCTATTCAGCAAGGAGGAAAAACGAGTGACATGCAGTTTGGACTGGAGCCCAGTGGTCTGATGGAAGCGTGAAACTCGTCATCGGTCGATGATGATCGGTGGTACTCTGCAGTAGGGGTTGAGTGGTGTGGGTTCACGACCCTTGAGACTCGACCAGGACAGCGGAGGCTCGATGCGGTAATAGCGGCGAGGCGTGCGGTATGCACGGGTCATGGAGACGGGCCAGGGCTCTGGTGGTCATACATGTGGTGAGACAACTGCGAATTTGACTCGGGATGACTACAAGCAACGGTGAAATTCCTTCAAGTTTCAGACAGGCGGTCAAGAAAGGAGCGGTGATGTTGAGTTCAGGTAACTCTTATGTGTGACACCCAATATGTGAGTTGTTCACTTTCACGCAGGTCAGTGGTCAGTGTATGATGACGTTGGACTGATACTCTGGAAGTTGGGAGCGCAAACTAGAGTAATGTGGAACTTAATTTCGCTCGAGTGTTGATTGTGGTCATGAAAAGAAGGGACTACAAGTTGCAGGTGGAGTCATATGGAGTCTTTGGAGTAGCAGTGGTACTCACAAGATAAGCTCAAGTCTACTGTACATGGAAGTTTGACGCATTGACGAATTCAAGGTGGTGGAGAATATTCGCCAAGGTAGAGTTTGTTAAAATTGTGTCGAATATAGTGTACAAGGTAGGTTACAATTGAACTAGGAGTTGTATTGTGTTTACATAGGATGTGGAGTTGTGTCCTAATAGGACACTTGTATCCTAAGCCTCTCATATATAGCGGAGTTAGACACACGATGTAACCTATGCCAACATAATAGTACAGACGCGCAAGGGGGGCCGGCGGTGTGTGTCGGCGCCCGGGTGGCCGGTGCGCGGTATTGTGACGGCGTCATGGGGAGGAGCGCCCATAGTCAAGCCCCGGTGATGTAGCCATATCGGTGAATCTCGTTAACAAATCTCGGTGTCGTGTTTGTGTGATTGCTTGGTTCTCGGATGATCGACGGCATGCCTCGGACTTATTCTAACACTTCTTCCAGAAGCACATATTTATTCACACGGGACTACGCATAGCCCATAAAAAGCCATAGCAACACCAAGAACAAAACCTTTCTTCAGAGAAGACATAAACGCCAAGCCAGAAGAAGCAACTAGTAACTAAGCCGTCTCACCCATGCTCTCATATATGCATGTAGTAGAAACTACGTGCTGACGAATGCCAGTCAGCAAGGCAGCTTGAACCCCATGTACGCTCCGCCGGTGTACTGCGTCCAGACATCTAGGGCTCCGAAGCAGGTGACGATGACGGTGCTGAGCGCCATGATGGCGGTGACCAGGAACACGATCATCGACACCCGCCCGGACTTCCTGACGACCCGCTCGATCAGGACCACCCCGGCGATCGAGGCGACGAAGCATATCCCCGCGTAGACCGAGGCCTCCCCGATCCCGTCCATGCCCAGCAGGATGAACTGGGCCATCGACATGGACGCGCAGAACAGCACCATGAACGAAGACGTCGCCGCCGCCGTCTACAGATGAAAAGTAGGCACGTCGAACGTGTGATCATCTAATAGCTTACAAATTACACATGCATGCACTGTCGTAGTCTCTGTATACCTGCGGGGGTATCCCAATCTGAAGGAGTACGGGGTTGAGAAGCAGCCCTCCGCCGATGCCGAAGAGGCCGCTCAGAGATCCGGTCACGAAAGCGGCCAGCGGGAGCGCGAGCGCGGGCAAAGTCTCCGTCTTAGTGTGCACAGAAGAATTTGCCTGCATGAGTACATGAATGTCCAGGGCAAGATTCATTCAGTCTCATTTGTATTACCATTCAATTTCTACCAATCAGAAGTTGAGAACACGACGAATTAATTGGTCTACGTACTACCTTGCCATCTTCGTGGTGATGTGGAGCCTGCTTCTTCCTCTTTGCGTATATGATATAGGCTGTGAAAGCCACGGCGAAGGGCACCTGGGACACGGTGGCGAGCCAGTATGCTACCCCGCAGGGCTTTATGCTGATCACTCCCTGCACAGACAGCATTACATTGATGAAGTCATCGTCTATGCGTTTCATATTATCGATTGGATCATTGGACGCAAACGTCTACCGTCAGAGGTGCGAGCCTCCAGTGACTCTTTCGATCCTGTGCACAATGAATGTGGACAGGCGCAAAGACCCGATTCCAAGCACAGAAAACAGCTTCCCACCCATGGACGTGACCTTTTAACTACTCGTAGTAGTACCCCTCCGTCCGAAAATACTTGTTATTAAAATAGACAAAAAAAGATGTATCTAGAACTAAAATATATCTAGGTACATCCTTTTTTATTCATTTTGATGACAAGTATTTCCGTACGGAGGGAGTAATAGAGTAGGTTATCTGCCTTAAACTAATGCTTTGTGCTGTCCATTCGCTGGATAACTTAAGTTTAACAGGCGATCCCTGCCTTGGACAAAGTTTGACAGGTATATCCATGCTAGCTTTATTTTGATGCCATGGCTAGGTAGCTAGTTGACTTTAAAAAATACTGTGGGAGACAAATGGCTAGTTGAAGCGTAGAATGAACCTAGACGCTGGCTAGACTCTTGATCATTTCCCATTACCGGCCGATCTATGTGAAGTGCGATGTCTATATAAGTAGTACTCATTCCGTCTCAAAATAAGTGTCTCAACTTTATATTAATTTAATACAAAATTGTATTAAATTTTAAGATATTTATTTTGAGACGAAGGGAGTATATAACACATGATTCTGAACCGGTGTCAAGCAGATAGAAAAGAAAATGACTGAGATGGATGCTGAGAATTTTGCTACAAAGCAAGAAAAATAAATGTTAGTACTCTTAATTTAGAACGTTGGTTCTAGTGTTGCCTCGCTGGTGGACAACCTGGTGCTAGCGCCTGCCGACATGGCCGTGTTGGGCGAAGGAGAAGCAGGCTGTGTGTGGCGAGTCGTTTTGCCGAAGGCAACCACAATATTTACTCCATCCGTCTCAAAATTCTTATCTTAGATTTGTTTAAATACGGATGTATCAAGTCACTTTTTAGTATTAGATACATCCATATCAAGACAAATCTAAGACAAGAATTTTGGGACGGAGGGAATACAATTTGTTTTTTACCGGCTGTCAGGGCCTTCCAGCAGTTTTTAGGGTTTTTTTTGTTGACCAGCAGTTTTCAGTTAAAATGATAAAGTATCAACAATACTTTTTT